TAAATCTCTGTTCTTTATAAATGACCCAGTCTCGGGTATTCAATGATAGCAGCACAAAACAGACTAAGACAGAAACCAGGGCCCAAAAGTGTTAGGTTGTGGCACCAAGGCCACATGGCCTGGGGGCAGTGGGAGAACTGGGATTGGAACCTGGATTTTGATCACTAGCCTGCCCTGCCTCTGGGCAGGGTCTGTGGGGGGCCCACCTATGTCCCGCATCCACCCCTTTCCGCAGCATACCGGGGGTCCCTTCCTTCCTAATGACAACTACAACAGCCAGCACTATTGTGTGCGTGCCAAGTGCCCCACCCTGTTTACGATCTTTACAGAAATGATCACACTTAAACCTCAAAGAGCCCTCAGAGGTGGGAACGATTTGTACCCCAAACATAAATGGGAGAACCAAGGCGCCAAGAGGCTGAGTAACTTCCCTAAACTCTCAGGATTGGCAGCTGGTGAAACCCAAGTTGGAACTCACAACTTTGTGTCTCCTCCATCGTGCCCCCAGCATCCAGCTCCCCACCCCTCCGTGCAGGCCCTTCCCATCTGCGTCCCACCCTTGCCCGCAGCCCTCCTTTCCCTCGGCCAGGCTCTGGCTCCTCAGGCCACTGTCTCAGAGGACCTCGTGTTTTAAGGGCATCGGTGCTGCCTCCCAGCTCAGCTACAGCCCCCTGAGGAGGCACGAGGCACAGGGCTGTGCCACTCTGAGCCGGTCCGTCAGGCAGCACAGTGCCCAGCTCAGAGTGGGGCTTGATGCATCTCTCTACACTTGCGGGCTTGTCTCTGTGCCCCCAGGTAGCCCTCAATGGGCAGCCGATTACACAGGAAGTTGAAAATCCACAGTGTTGGACAGAAGTCATTGTCGGGCCTGGACATGAGGCTGACCCTCACCCCCCACATGCACCTGGCTCCAGGAAGAAGAGGTGTTCTCAGGTCCCCAGAGCGGTGATGGTTCCAGAGAGTAAACACCGGACATGTCAGTGAAGAGCCGCCTTGCAGCTCACATTGAGAGCTGGATGTCCTGGGTTCAAGGGCAAGCTCTGTCACTCAACTCACGGCCCTGGGCACACCACGTGCCTCGCTGCTCTCCTGCCCCAGCACTCATTCACTCAGCAGCTATTTACTGCAGCCAAGCTCTGTTCTGGATGCCAGGGGTGCAGCCTCGGACAAGACAGACAAGTTTCCTGCCCTCTGGGGCCAACCGTCCAGTAGGGACCCCGAGACTAGAGGAGTAAATAAATAAATGAGATCGTCAGCAGGAACAGGAGAGAGCAGGAGCGGGGGTGGGGTAGGCCTCTGGGAGGAGGTGGCCTTCGGGGACAACTTAGGGATGAGAAGGGCTGGCAGGGAGGTCAGAAAGAACAGCCCAAGAGTAGAGGCAGGGACGGAGCCTGGATGGGAGCAAGCTTGCTGCCCAGCGGCCCCGGTGAGGGTGTGATTTGGGGGACAATGGGAATCTGTGGAAGGTTCTGATTAAGGGGGAGGGGAACCATCTGGTTGGCACTCTGGCTGTGAGTGAAGGATGGATCCAGGAGTGGCTGCAGGGAGAGGTCAGGAGCCGATGCAATGGTTCAGGGGACAGGGGGCAGTGACTTGGACCCAAGTGGCAATAAAAGTGGCAGAAGGATCCAAGATGAGGACGGGTGGTGCTGATAGGAATTGTGGACAGATTACATGGGGTGGACAATGGGAAAGAGGGTGGGGGAGGGCTCCCAGGTGTGGGCCGAGCAGAGGGTGGGCCGTTTCCTAAGGGAGGATGAGGCCGGAGTCTGCCGGGGGTTCCTGCATCCTGAGGCGGGGACTCAGGAGCCTGAGAGGGATGCCACAGGAAGCCAGGGGCTGCAGGAGGTGGGACGGGCCGAGGCGGGCACGGGGCGGAGGCCTGGGCTCAGGAGCACAGATGGCTCAGGGCAGCCGCCAGAGAGGAAGTGCCTGGAGAGGGTCAGGGAGGATTAGGGCCCCAAATCCGATTATGTCTCCCCCTTGAAGATGGCAGCTCCAGACAAAGCCGAGCTGTCACCACTCCTGAGTCGCCCTTGGCCCCACAGAGAGGGTCATGTGCTCACACACACGCATGCTCACGCAGGCACACGCAGGTGCGCACACTCACACACCCTTCCACCTCATAGTCACACTCGACCCCAGTCCACACGGTCACACCCAAGCACCCTCTCCACCACCCATGGACATCTACGCACGTGTGCTGCGACGTGGCCTCCCAAGCACCAGGAATGCTCACAGAAGCCCCCGGGGCAGGCCCGCCACAGCCCCAGGGTCCCCAAGAGTCAGTCCCCAGACCCACAAGCCCACCTCGACTAACACACGCCCCACCTGCCCCTCTGAAGCCCACAGAACTTCACACCCAACCCAGCCCTGGACTCGTCGCTGCCCACACTTAACATGGAACACGGCTCTGACCGGCTACAAGCCTCCATGTCCCTTTCTCAGTCACACAGCTTGGGTGCGAGAGGCCCTTCCTGGTGCAGCCAGCCTCCTCTGTGCTGCCCCAGAAGGGAGCGGGGGTCCAAGCAGGGCCATTACTAGGGGCCTGGCCTCAACCCTCTCCTCACACACAGTCATACATGCACACAGCATGACCACACACCAGAATACACACTCACACACCACACACACTCACACACCACACACACTCACACACCACACACACTCACACACCACACACACACACTCACACACCCCAGGGACGCGTGACCGTGAACTGGGCTTGGTTGTTACCCCGCTGACAGATCCCCCGAAGCCCCTCCACTGCCCACATCAGGAGCCCCGCAGCCAGAGCTGCCCAAGGAGCCATGCCATGCCACCTACTCAGCGGGCCATCCTCAAGGATTGAAGCCAGCCTGCCTCCTTCTGGAGAGTAGCTGGTGGACAGACAGGAATCTGGCCCTGTCCCCAGCCTGATTCATCCACGGCAGAGCCTGGGCGAGAAGTGTCTGCCTCAGTTTCCTCGGGGGCAGGGGCAGGATGCAGGTCTTAATCTCAGACAAGAAAGGCCCCTGGGGGGTGGCTTCCAGTGGCCACAAGGGCCTCCCAGGCTAGGCAGGGTAAGGGCAGCAGTGACCTAGTACCAGCTTTCCTGAGCCTGCAGGTGCCAGGCACCCCCAGTGTCCCAGCCATCCTGGGGCTGGCTGGCTGGGGCTGTGAGATCACCCAGGAGTGAGCCAGAGTGAGGGAGGGTGGGCAGGAGGCCAGACTGTGGCCACAGGCCCCAGGGTGCAGCCCCAAAGACAGTTATCATTAGGCTAGAGCCCCAGACATCGTGGAGGCTCCTCCCTGCTGGCCTGGGTGCTGAGGGCGAAGGAGGAACCCCAGGGATACAGGAGAGCCGGGGACAGTGTGTTTCCTTTACCCAGAGCCCGTAGGAGGCCCCACAGAAGGGCAGGAGGGAGGTGCCCTGTGCAGCAGTTGGGGGGCCCCTGCCGCCTTCCCTCCTCTCCCTTCACCCTCTCACTCCCTTCTCCTGGCCCATCTCATGGCTGCCTCCCCTTCACCCGCCTCTCCCTTCCTCCCTCACCCTCCTCTCTTCCTTCTGCAGGCCGCCTCCCACCTCAGTAAATACCCGCCTCGGCCAGAGGAGCCACAGGGCGGTGGACTGAGCAGTGGGCTGAGGTGGGGACCCAGCGTCAGTGGGTGGACAGGCAAGCCCCTCCCCAGGATTTCAGCCTCCTGTGAGGACTTGAAGGAGGGGGACCCTGAAGCTGCTGCCTGGCCCGAGCCTAACCAGTTATGGACCCGCCTCTGCCTGCTCAGAGACGACTTGTGGTGATAGCCCGTCCCCACTCATGAGCCTGGCTTTGAGGACTCACCATGACCCCCTTCACCCTGCACCCCCAGCTTGCACACCTCTGCTCTTGCTCTTCCCAGCCCATCGCCAGAGCCACCTCTTCTGCGAAACTTCCCACATGTCCTTGCCCAGTGCCGTGGCCCAGCCTTGCAGCCCCACACCCGTTCCAGGCCTGGGCACGGCTGCCTCTCCAGCCTCCAGCAGCACCTGAAGGCCAGAGCAGGCCCTTCAGTGATCACCCCTGGGCACTGGGTCTACAGACAACGGTCTGAGCATCGTCAGCTTTCCCTGGGCCAGGCCTATCCTCAGCCTGAGTCTTTGTCCATCAGAGCAGAAGGGATGAGGGGAAACCCACACAATGAGGGGCCAAGGTCAGAATACAAAGGAGCTTCCCCTGCCCTCCCTGGGGAAGGTGCCCAGAGCTGGAGAGGTCTTTTCCCTCTGGGGACTGAAGCCCCTCCTTGAGGCAGGGGCATGGCCCACATGACCATAACAGTCCCTTCCAGCACAGGATACTCACCAGGCAGAACGAGATTAGGGGTGGCTTCCCCATGCGCCAGAATTTCACCCCTCCACATCCTTTTCCAACCCCCAAGCCCCTCTACCCAGGCCTCAGACCCCCCACCCAGAATGTCCAGTTACCAATGGGCCCAGCCAGGGGGCCCCCCAGAAGCTGTCCCACACTCCCCGGATCCTGGAGGCTGGACTAGCCCTGATAGAAGCCCAGGGCCTGGCTGCAGCTGCCCAGGCTCAAGACCCCCAAGGTTCCCTTGGCTCCATTCCAGCAGCACCAGATGTCTAGACGTTGCTTCATTTTGGCTAAAACTAAGAACTACTTGGCAACATTTTCAAACACGCTTATTGTAGACCTCCCATGAGCTAGCTGCATTCAATCACATCTCTCATCACTTCACACCGCTTTGAGAGATAGGAATTACTTACTATCCCCATTTTGCAGATAAAGAAAGTGAGGCTCAGATTTTCCCTAACAAGGTCAAGGCAGAGCTGGGAAACCAGCCCATCTTTCCCCGTGAGGTCCCTGTCCTCCGTGCATCGGTCCTGCTTCTCTAACAGCTTTAAGCTCCTCCCAGGAAGGAGAGGCCGGACACACCTGGACCCCGCACCCCATCCCCCACCTGTGCCCTGCAGGAGAGGCACCCCAAGGACAAGCAGCAGCCCTACCGGGCTCTCTTCCTCTGAGCTTGGTTGGAGTTCAGCAGTCCCCTGCACCACCACCCAGTGGAACAGAACAGACACGTGTCTGCCCAGGACCCTGGCACGGGACATTCCATGTGGCTACAAATTAGATAGACCAGGTGCCATCTTCCAGGGCTGGGGACCCCCTCCTCCTTGGCAGAGAAATGAGCCCGCTTCCAACACACACCTATTCTTAGTCTCAGAAATTTGTTTGGAATGATGACATAGAATGTGAGGGAAAAAACAATGTTTTTTAAATCTGAAAAGCAGAGGGGGAGTTAACTCCATGCTGTGAGAGGATCAGAGACCAGCATGTGTCACGAACCCACAGCAGGGCCCACAGTGGGGTGACTGCGAGCCATGGGACCAACTGGTTTGGGGGCCAATGTGAGGTTGTGGCAACGAGGTTTCCCAAACCAACCAGCTGTTTTCAGAATTAAGGAGGCCCTGTCATCTAACCAGACCGTTATAATAGCCACCCCCCAGGTACTGCTTCCACCTCTCCCAGCAGCCGGGAAGGAAAGCTGACCGAGTCGTGGCTCCTGCTGCCTCTGGAACGAATCCATACCCCCAGCAGGGCGGTCAAGGCCCCATCTCTTCTTCCCCTTTTTTGGTTCATGTTTGTCAGCAAAGCCAGGCTTAGTTCTTTCCACAATGCAGCTCCCCCGCCCCCACACCACACACACTTGCCTTGTTCTGGCTAGAAATTCTGCTCACAGCAGCCCCTCGGTCTGCAGCGCCCTTCTCATAGATTCAGAACGCCTTCATGCCCCCTTGCCCGCGGGCCCAGCGCCCATGCCGCTCCCTCCAGGCAGACTCCCCTGGTTGCCCTGGTGGAGCGTGACAACCACCTCTTGGGAGCCCCCAAGTAACTGTG